AGACTGAGCGTGGGGAGTACTAGAATGCACACACACACACACACACACACACACACACACACACAGATTTGTTTCTATATCCCCATGGGAAATGTGTATTGACTTTTTTCTTGAAAATGGTTCCCACAATGTAGCAAAAACGTGCCCACAAACACAAACCAATGAAATTAAAAGATTTTTAGAGATTCTGTGGTTGTTTCTGTTGTCTGTYTGTTGMTTAATCCTGCGGTCGCTCATTGATGTCATCAGCATCAGCTCATTATCATTTTCTGAATGCAGAACCGMGGGTTGCTTTTTCACAAGTCGGTCAGCCCGGCTCGGGCCCGGCTCTGRTACTACCTCGCTTGGGGCCTCAGATGGGCATCAGAGGTGGGCTCATTTTACTCGCYTTTCCGCCTTCGTRTTTTTTCTGACTYCTCAGAAGAGGACAGAACAYGCATCAGTCCTGGACTGAGTGGTCTTATGAATGAGGCTTACGTCTAAAAGACTATTCCTTGATAAATTGTTTATTACCTACTGTTTTAAATACCTAAGATCATCTTATTCAGAGAMATGAGAATTATAGATAATTTGGTTAATCCTTGAAAACAACAGCCTGTACAGTCTCATACAATATTGCAATTCCTGCATGWTGTTAGTGTTTTAGGTGCAGTGTGTGTTGTGGAGTATTTTTAGCTAAGAGATCCAGGTTTGACTCTTTTTCTTTCAAATGCACTGAGTTGTAGCCTCTCTTGTGTAAGCTAAAGTTCATTAGCTGCGGCTGCCTTTCTGATGGTTGATTTCACAAGTTAATCAGCTGAAGATATTCAGCCGATAATGACCCCCCCCCCCCCCCCCCCCCCCCCCCCCCACACACACACACACACACCCATAGACAAGTGCTAAAACATTATCACTCCACCTTTGCCCTCACTGGTAAGTGGTAATTAAACTCACTGGTGTTGTTCTAAGWTTTTTCTTYCTGTATCACAATGGGTTTGTCTTAATAATGCAGTAGCAATCAGAGGATGACATACACTGTATATTAACATTAAATTTTAATACCCAAAACAGCTGAAAGGTTTTTTTTTTCCACTTGTAGAAACATTAACAATGTACACAACATGACCTAAGTAGAATTCTGGTGTGTTTTCTTCACATCTTTGTAAAAAGGGATCACTGTGGGAGAGCCAGAGACAGTACATTGTATATGGTACACCGAAAAAATAACAAAGACTGAGTGTTCTTGTAGAAGATTAACTRTTTGTCCTTACAGTGTGTTATTCTTCTATTTTTTTAAGGTCAAAGAGACAAATTTTCTAGCTTGTAGAACATTTTCTGCTCTCTGCAGCTTGTACAGAGGATGTCATATTTCAAGGGCCAAGATGGAGGACACAGCCCAGCGACCTCATTTTGCCGATCAACTCCCCAGACCACCAGGCGACCATCACGTGCGAGGCAGAGGGGATCCCTTCGCCGCAGTACAGGTACGCCACTACAGCCACAGTCACTCAGACCTTCCCGTGCTCCACGCTGCACGTTTGCATCGCGCCGTGAGGCTCCAGCGCTGTCGAATTGATCGCTTCCTTGCTGCTTCTGTGGAAATCAAAGAGGGCCCTGCTAGTTACTTCTAAATAAATTTTTAATGGTTTCTGGTCAGAAATGCTTGAGAGAGAGAGCGAGATAAGACACCATCTAAGAAAAAAAAAGACGAAGAAGAAGACAGGCTTCAAAGAGCAACAACTTAATTGAGCATCCATTTCTAATTGAAAAAAAAAGCTTATCTATTTTCAGCCCGAGCTGTGATGTGGAGTCGGAGTCAACTGTGGTTGATGAATTTATCTACAGCTAAGGATGAGTGAGGTTAACTTTGATAATGAAAAGATTTAAACTGCTGCGCCTACTGAAGATTTATAAATTGGTGCAGGGCTTAAGAAATCATTAGAAGCGAATAGGAAATCCCTCCAACTCATTTGCACCACAGATCCTTTGATATGACTCCGGCTATTCCCTGACAGCAGAGTGAGCTCACTTGGAAGTGGCAGATGTTTTTTTTTTCTTGAGTAGATTGGGTTTCAGAACTCAGTGCCACATAGATGCACAGCAAGCAGGGTAAAGACGCAGTAACCTTGTGAGTGACATTCTGTTAAATGCTTGCATTTCCTGTATTGTGACTGTGTAGGAAAACATGGCTGAGACTCAGCAGCAGGGGATATCATTATACTGATAGTGCAACCTGAGCCATTCCACTGAAAAAGGAGAAACCTACATCTGCATCATGTCACCTGCAGCTTAATGTCCACTGTTTTTCCCTTGTTTTGTTCTAAAGGCACTTTACAATATATTAAGTCAACAGTAGGAAGTGTCAGAAAGAGCTGTAGCCAGCTGAGCTCTGACGTAGCGCAAGTCAGTAAAATGCTCACGATTCGAGCCGATTCTCACATTTAAGCTGCTGCGGTCAATATTTCACACAATGAATCAAATAACATGTAATAAGAAAATTGTTTACTTTGATGTGACTTGCCCAAAGAGATTTATGATCAATGCTGCGAATCCCATTAGGTTTTTGGGGTGCTTTGGTGTTTTCCAGCTCAATGGGCCTCATGCAAGAACATGTTCGTATTCTTATCCTAAATTTCTCTTACTTTTGTTCGTACAAAGGGTTCGTACGAACATGTCACGTCAGATTGTCCTGATGCATCTCAGTAATCCAGGTAAAAAATCAAAAAGAAAAAAATTGTATAGGTCTTCTGGAC